TTAATAAAGACACGCGAGCCCCATGAACATTGTTTTTGTTCCAAATATTTCTTACTTCCACTCCCCACTTAGACAAATTGTACAAGTCACACTTCCTTCGGGTAATATATCGAACCCAACATCAATATTATTTTAATATTATTTTATTCCCACAAACCTTCACTTGACTCCTCGAGTTCTAAAATGAATCACTTGTACCGATTCACTTCTGAACTACCTTTTTATCTCACTAATTCATCCTCGATAAAATATTATTATTTAATTATCATGTCCTTGCATACTGAATATTTTATTATAAAATATTTCTTTTGCTTGCTACCACTCTTTCGCACTTAAATTTATGTCCTTCAAACCTTCGTCTTCTTGATGAGATCATATTGGCTCTTATACGAGGGTATGGGGTGTTACATATTTATTCTGATTTGTTTTTAATGAGTTGTTAAATGATTTTAATGGTTGAGATTTTCACTTGAATTGGTTTGATAATTAATTTAAATGATTATCTTGCAATAACTTTCCGATTTTACATATAAGGCACAAACCTCCCTTTTTAAGCTAAATTGTTTATATATATTCTTATATTTTTAATACTCAAACCTTCTACCTTTGGCTTGTTTCCCATCTATGCCCTACTCATGGAGTTGATGATTACTGAGTCTGTGAGATTCACCCCCCTTATTTCCTTTTGCAGATAAGTAATCTGTTCAAGTGCATCACTCTGCACATCGAGACTTGCTACAACATAAGTAAGGGCATCTCTTAGACTTCCAATCCTAGTCGTTCCGCTGCATAGAGGTCGTGTTGTGTAAAATAGTTTGACTCATAAAGATTATCAGTCTATCGAGAATGTATTTGCTAAACTTTGAGGTTGTGTAATGAATACCACCTGTGATGTTAAAATTATTTTGGAGTCATTAAGTCTGATTATTGGTATCTAGCTACTACGTTTTAAATATCGTGTTTATTTGGTTTAAGTAAATGATAGTATTTATGTTGCCAGTAGATTTTTAATAATCCAGAATCTCAACTAAGGCTTGTTCCAGATTTGGTAGTTTCACTTGCAAGTTTGTTCTAAGGATGACCTTAAATGATGGTATGTTAGCGTGAAGCCAAAGGATTAAAGGACTCGTAATGGATTTGGTAGCTTAAAGTTAAATGACGTAAAAATGTTGATTATAGTCTAAATGCTATATGGAGTTCTATATTTGAGCTTGATATACAATTGATTTAAAGATCAATTTAAGAATCTATTTGGATCAGCATGCAACCTATGATATAAATGATTGGTTTTAAATGTGAATTCTCCAAAGGTAAGGGACTTAGAAAAATGCTGATTTTTGAATAAGCTCTATAAGGGAGCTTCTACGTCCTAAGTTTAAGAGACTTTGATCTTATGACCGCAAAGGCGAGATACAATAATTAAGTGAATTGTCCACCTTATAAATGTAATTGGTAAGGATTGATGAGTAAGTTAAGATCTTCACACTAAGTGGTGTACAATTTGATATGCATGTACCTAAGAGTAATTTAGAGACCATCGCTTAACCAAGTTTGCACTGAATGTTACAGTAAAGTATATGATTGCTATTAGTGAAATATGCCCAAAGGATGATTTTGGCATATCACAAAAAAGGAAATAGATATATAGAAATTAATGTTTCGATTGTGTACTTGTGATAGAAAGCTAGTTTGGCAAATTATGGTATAGGCTTAGAGGAAAGCCAAATGATTGAGAATGATTAATGTAATAGCCTTAAGAGTAGAATAATTGCTTTGATAAAGTAATTTCCAGTAGTTGTATCACTGTAGTGCTGACCATTCAGCATAGTAGTGCTAGGAACATCTCATGTCTAGGAAGCAAGAACAAGATGTGCATGACATGAAGATGAACTTGCAAGCTGAATTATGGTCATTGGACTTGATGATAAGCTTTGTTAATTAGAGTTTTAAGGTTTTGGAAAGTATTTTTATGAATGAATTGAAAAGTTTCTTTATTACCTTATTTAGTGGCATGTAAGTAAAAGAGAAGTTGGAGAGTTCTTGAGATAAATTACCATGTGAAGTATTATGATAAAGATTACACAAATTAAAGTAAAGTCCTAAGAATTAAAGGAGACAAGAGATTAAGCCTTGTTAAAAGCTATGAGAAGAGTGAGTTAAAAGTTAGATGAATGTATGAGACATTGATAAAGGGACTTAGCCTAATTGGTGGTTACATGACTATAGGCTTGGCATGAGATTGAGAATGCCCTAACATATATGTGGAATGTATGGTGAAAGGTTGAAAAGCCATGTATACACTAATAAGGTAAGTAAGATGAATGATAGGTGAAATGTGGATGTTATTATGACAAGCATAAGAAGCTTAAAGATAATTAATACAAATATATTAAGTTAGTTGGTATGGTTTGAATTAAGAACAAGGACACGTTGGGAGATACGATAATAATGTCCATTGAGGCTAATGAGCTAAAATGCTAGTGAGCATGCATTGAATTGTTAAAGTTATGCATGGCTTTGAAGATAAGCCCTTGATTGTTTAAGTCCTCAACGAAATTCTACTTAAAGATGTGTTTAAGTGTTTTGGAAGTGTATGGAAAAGCATAAAAGAATATACTAGCTTAACTTGCAGTAAGAGGATGAAATCGAGTGGCCATAAGTGGCTTGTGAGCAATCAAGCAGTGTATAAGTAAATGCATAAAGAGAGCTATGATTGGTTGATAAAGGTAGAACTCTAACAACTAGATTGTGTTCACTGCTTTGGGCATTGAACTATAAGTTATGGACTTGTCTCCACTCTATGAACACTCTGGTGAGATAAATTTAAGAGATTTCTCCCCGTGTGAAAACATTAAAGCTCAAGGAGCTAATGGCCATATAGTGACGTTTGTGCTCGTGACTGATATGTCACATAGTATAAAGATATGCTACAAGTATAAGAATGATTGGAGATATTGGTTTAAGGCAATGATTATCCTGGCATTTTGTAGATCTGATGAGGTTGCATTCTCGATATGCTCGTAGACGCAAGGCATAAAATTGTGAAAATTGCTTTCCTTACATGTTTCATTATGTTTTCAAAAATTACCAAAGATAAAGTGCCTGATAAAGGTAGGCAAAGATTGAATTATGCTCCAGATGATTATTGAGCAATGGTGATGTGGTCTAGTTAGATGATATCACCCTCGGTAGAGGAATAGAAATACACCACTAAATTCATAAAGATCTACTTAGAAAAGAGATGATGATTCGAGATTTTCATTATTTAAGTACAAGTACAGATCTTGGTAATGAGCATGACTTAGAGGTAGAATACTGGAATATGAATTTTGGCTAAGTAAAAATTAGCTTTTGCGATACGTGGTGTTTGGGGATGGTGCCAATTAGTGGTTGACTCCTTATGAGAATAGATCTTCGACACATGTTTTGTGTATTCCCCATATGATAGTGAGCATGATCTGATTAATCATGAGAGGAGATGATTCTAAAATTGATCTGTTAGTTATTCAATAATATAAGTGGCTTATTGAGGTTGTTCAACCTAGGACTACTTGAAATTGGAATTTTGCAACTATATATGAATATATGTGATTGCATATTGGCATAAAAACTCATACCGAGTTGGTTATAATTTGATTGATAATGATATTCGATTAGTGGTTATAACACTAGACAATGACTAAGATAATCAATCAGTGATTTTGGCAATAAACAAGTTGACTATAATGCTATTGGCTGAAAGGTAAGCATTTATACTTCTGATATTCATTCATAAAGTTCTATCTTTTGTGATCAAGATTAGTATCTTTGATATAGCTTGAGAGGTTCGGCACACGGGCTAGCTTAAATGTAAGCTAGAATTTGTTAGGCTATTATGAAGTACATAAATAGAGAAGTATGCCATGGATTTAATTTCTTACGGGCCTATGGAAAAGAACACATCAATTTTAGTATAGCTCCAATATAGAGTGTCGATACATGGAGGTTTGGAAAAATTTAAAGCCTTACACATTAAGCTTTGCATTTGAATGTGTGTTAAAAAAGTTTAAAATCTACCTTGTTTGGCATAAAGTCGATGATTGGGAATGATTAATTATGGATTTAATTCTCTAAGGTAAAAAGGCTAAAAGAAGTTAATTTCAGAAAGGTTTTAGTGGATGATTCTTTGATTTTAAAGAGCACCTAAGAAAAGATAAGTGTCTAATTTCATCTTCACATTGATGAACTAATGAGGTCATGAGATTTGGCATCTGAAATGACTTTGAGGAATCTCAAGTTAGATATGTTTGTATGTGGCATATAACTAATAAGTTGGTTATGACTTGGGAATTAGAAAGATGGTTAGTAATCAAGATAATACTTAGAAAGGAATTTTAAAGGAAATGTGTGAGCAATTTTTACCTGAAGAGATTGAGCTATTGTTTAAAGAGATTGGTTAAGGTCATAAGCAGTTATATAGAATGTCATGATTTATTAAAATGTATTGTGCTATAAGTTGAAATTTATCTAGTAAGCACTCGATCATGAAAATATTAGAGTTTTGTTTTTAGGAATATGCTTACTAATGGTCAGTGGATTTGAATCATCCGTAATGTTGAATATATATGAAATGAATAAAGAGCGTTCTGATCTTAATTCATTATGAAATGGTTCCAAGGGATTTGTATGGAAGTATGTAAACGAAATAGTGATTGGTTGACAATTTAGACCCTTAGTCAATGGTGGAATAAATGCTTGAATGTTGCAAGGTATGATAAAAGGTCAAGGTAGGGGAATTGTGGGTGGTTATGTAAACATGCATAATTGATGATTAAGGAAGATTTGATTGCGGTGTGACTAGAATTAATGGCATATTTGAATTCTCTTTACAAGATGAAGAATGATATTATTTTGATCCAAGAAGTGTAGTACACATAATTTTATGTATTATGACATTGTCAAGTTTTCTATAAAGAGTACAAGTTGATATAATGTATAAACAAATATCACATATTAAAAATGCCCAATGAAAGTGATGTGGTAGAATTTTAGAATTTTGATTATTCACCTTACATTGATTTGAATTTGAGGACGAATTCATTTTAAGTGGGGGAGACTGTAACACCCCGTACCTTGATATGGTGGCTAATAAAGCTTATTAGATATCAATTAAGGTCAATTAGAGTGTTTAAGAGTGATAAAGGGTGAAAGGAATAGTTTGAAATAAAATATTTCGCACGTGAGAAAATAGTAATTAAATAATAATATTTTTATCAAACATGAATTAGATAGTTAAAAAGGTGTTTCGGAAGTGAACCGAGACAAGTGAGACGTTTTAGGTCCCGATGGGACAAGTGGAGAATTTTGGAATAAAATAATATTTTATTAATAAAATAATATTAAAATATTAAAATTTTATTTGTTGTTGAAATTAATCATGAAGAAGAAGTATATGGTCAATCTAAGTGGCGGAGAAGAAGAATGAAAGAATTTTGAAGAAAAACGACGTTGGTGGGGCTGACGTGCCTTTATTAAATACAGTAAGAACGGTCAGTATATATTTAAATATTATGATGACACCTTCATGAGGTGCAAATTTTATATTTTACTTGTTCACATATAAAGGAAGGAAAATAGGAGGACATTGGAATATAAGAGGTGTTAGAGCACCAAATTGTGAAGGATGAAAAGATTAAAGGGTCACATGGTAAATAAGAAAAAGTTGGAGGACTTATGTGTAATTACAATATTTGAAGTTAAATGAAATTAATTAACCAAGGGAAGTTAGATTATGTGGGATGATGAGATGTACATGTGAATAAAGAGTATTTAAGTGGAAGAAAACCATGGTTTGGTAATGACAGCTCATGGTAAACAAAGCAAGGATGGCAATGTGATTTGACAAGAATGAAAACTAATGCATGCTTAAGCCAAACATAAAAGAT